CACACACACACACACACACACACACACACACACACACACACACACACACACACACACACCTCTGTGACAGCTTGTAGAGACGCCCCGTGCTTCAGAAGCAGCTCCATCACTTTCAGTCTGTTCTTCTTACAGGCAATGTGCAGAGGGGTAAAACCATTCTAAAACACCAAAAATATTAAATATAAATACATTAAAACRAATTCTGAAAAAATCCCAGCAAATCTGTGTATTGTTCTATAGATCCTGCAGAGCTGGCAGAAGAAAAAGTGTGTAAAGTATAATACAGAAACTTTTTAGTCCTGCTGAAAATGTGTGGAAACAATCAACTTCTCTCTAAAGCTRTAAAAATGACTCGGCTCTAAAATAGATACTTTTCCCTACAACTCAACGTGTACACCCCCTCCCACATGATGTTACTTTGAGGTTTCCTGCTGAGTTGGATGACTTCATTTTCCAATCCGTGTCCTTTTTCCCTCCTTATTCTCTCCAGTTATTAAGTCCCTGCGCTCCAACCACACCCAGCCTGTTTTCATTACAGCGAGCAGATCCAGCTCTTACGTCAGAGAACTGGCTGTGGATGTAAAGACACATTCTTTTTCCTAATTTTTTTTCCTTGCTGTTCTTTGGCCGGCTCTCTGTCTTCCTGTCTTTTRTTCTGAACTGGATGTTTTAAATGAGAAAAGAAAGAAGAAAATAAAGTTTTAATCCGAAGCMATGTTTTAGCGTGAAATACACTTTGACGCAATTCGCCCACTTCCTCCTCCTCACCAGTGCCTTAGCGTTGGGGTTGGCTTTCTTGTCCAAAATGACCTTCGCCACTTTGTAGTGACCACAGTGAGCGGCCACATGCAGTGCCGTCAGGTAGTCGTTGGTCACGTCGTCCACCGGCACCTCRTGGTGCAGCAGCAACTGGACGCAGTTCAGGTGGTCGCCCTGTGTTGCCATGTGGAGAGGAGAGAGACCGTTCTGCAGAGAAAAATGAGGTAAACTGTTAACCACAATTTACACTGCGTCCACGCCGAGCTCCGCAGTGAAAACAAACCCATTATAATCACTTAGAGCATTTACACTRCGTACGCTGTGGTGTGCGCGTGGTGATTCACCAAAATTCGATTTCATTTTTGCTGCACGGTGGAGGAAGTGCGGAGTCKATCTTTAACAGGAAAAGGAACGAGCACAACAACCTCTGTATTTTCAAAATAATTCACCAAAGACAAAATATACTTTGTCAAAATCCTAGCTAAATTATTAAATAAATGAGTATATTTACACATACAGTACATGCTGTTAAAGTTTATCGTTCTGTTTAGGAAGCAGATGGCATCATGMAGTGTGTAGCATATGCACACACATAAAACATGAATTTTATTTTGAAATATGGATTTTAAAAAAAGACAGTGATGCAGTTTCAGCTGTTGTTTTTGAGTCCGTCTTCCACAGAACAAACAAATTTGGTCTGACTTCTATATTTATCACTAGCTTTATTGCAAGATCCCACATTTCTTGTGCATGCTTCTCAGAGCACCTCGGTGCTTTGCAGCGGAGCTGAGTGGAGAGGATGCAGACGCATGCAGTGTAAATATGGAGTTACATCAGCTAGCAGTCTGCTAACTTTTTTGTTGTTGTAGATGAGCTAAAAGTTGGAATGTGGATGGAATTTTTTCCAACACCAATATAAAATCTGGCAGTGGAAACATTAAAAAACATAAAAGAAAACAAAATAACGTGATTATCACAAGTATTAGGAATGTTATGGATGTTTGTTTAGATCTAATCAAGCTTATGATTACTGATGCAATTCATAGCTGAACCAATATGGTCTTTGAAAGCATTTTGGCTAGTTCTCTATGAAATTTTAGGAAAAAGATCAGACTTCGGCTTTTTGTAAGAAGCATCTTGTATCCTAAAAACAATAAATCCAATGCAAAAGTAGCAGAAAAGGTATAAAACAATGTTACAAGACTCATGTCACCAAATCAATTTGATATCTCTTGGAAAGCAATGAAATGAATAACATTTAAAAATTTTGTGGACATTTATTTTGTAGGAAAAAACCCTCAACCAATGACGGCATGAAAAAGAGTTGTGACAAAGACGAGTATCAACATACTTTGCTAACTGTTGCTATTCCATAGAAAAAATTAAACAGACTTTCAGATTATAATGAAATTTGGAACAAAAGCAGATAAGATGTTCTTCACGTCAGCGGACCTATTTAAGTGGTCACTGGAAAAACTTGGATGATTGAATTTGATCTTATCTTCAATAAAGTGGCTCTTCAAAGTGCATTAGCAGAAATAAAAACTCCACTGGGTCTCCAGCTAAGTACTTGACGTCAGAAAGCTTTTTTGAAATTGCTAGAACAAAACGAAATGAACAAATAACCACAGCAGATTAGGAAGAAAATGGCAGTCGCTGCTGATGATCAACATCTCAACTAAAAGAGGAGAAAAGAGAGAAGATGAAAGTGCACCTTGGTCTTTGAGAGTATCGGAGCTCCTCTGTCCAGTAACATCTCCACCACCTGCTCATGACCACTCCTGGCTCCACAGTGGAGTGGAGTTAGACCGTCCTGTGAAACAACAAGCTAATATTCAGATTTGGGCTTTCAACAAACAACAGACCTACTGTTAATAATAAAAAAACAAAAGTTGATGTTGGTTTTTGTGCTTATACCTTGGTCCGTGCATCTATTTTGGCCCCCCTCTCCAGCAGCAGTCGCACCATGTTGGTGTTTCCTCGTTTGGATGCTACATGCAGTGGTGTGATGTCATTCTGCAGAGAAGGTGAAGCAACACTGAGTCACTCAGCCATACAGAGGAGAAAAACCTCCAACTGTAGCACCCAGGTTGAAGKAAAATGATGTGAATGCACAGAATGYGTTTGYTGGTTTCATCTCACCTGGTTTCTCTGATTTTAATATGTGCTGACTGTTTGATCACTGAGTTACGTGTGAGAGGACAACAGACTTTTTGAGAAAAATGACTAAATATCGCCCTCTAGAGGAAAATAACCAGTTCAACTGCACCATTTTCAGCAGTACATTGAACTATTGTGTGTAAGTATTGTGACCAGAAATTTGATATCACACAATAAACAAAACATTAATATCTATGTCTTTTTTTTTCTTGGATGGCCTCCCTTCTCCCCTTATAGCCATCCTCTCAACACCATTATGATTTTTTTTAAGTGAAGAGAAAATAGAGAGAGAGAAAAACAGAGAGAGAAGTAATTAAAAAGATAGAAAGACTGAAATAGCGATTAGAAGTATATTAAATATACACCAACAAAACACAGGACCACACACCCAACATCTGTCCGCTCACCTGAAAAATAAATGGATAAATATATAGAGGGCATGTATAAAAATACACATATACCCATACATATATAAAGATATACATACATACATGCCTACATACATAAATATTGTCTGTATATACACACAGACATATATACAC